GTGTTTTGTAAGAAGGCTAACAAGCGTAAACTTTTGTCTGCCTGAAGTATTCTGGGTCCTTTAGCCCAAAGTCACCAAAAGTCCTGGAGTGAGTGAGACAATCTTTTCGCAGTCGAGCAGCTTGTGGTCCCCACTTTCATGGAGCAATCGGCACCTCATGATCTTTTTTTTAACAAATCAAGGCAACATCTCTCGTGGAGACTGATCTTTCCCGTTCTCTGGACCCCCAGCCAGAGACAAAGCTGAGCTACAGACTGGCTCCCAACAATCACCCTGGAGTCTCCAACATGGGAGACATAGGCCTCACTTGATGCAAGACTTTTCAACATCCAAAAGGAATTCCAATTGAAACGGCTTGAAACACAGCGCAGCACGACATTATATACATAATTGTACGATATATTATATATATAGAGTTATATATATATATATATATCAGTGAGCCGCTTCAATAGATAACAAGCGGCATGCTTATATATCGCCAAAGAACATCAAAGAACTATATAAGCCAACAAAACATCAAAACAAATGCTCGAGGGGACCTCCGGTATTCTACAATGTGCCTTCAGGAAGGATCTGCTTTGAGACAAAAAGTTATATACAGTATATACCATGCTCTGAGCCCTTTGGACGATGTTAATTTCTTCTGAAACAAGAACAAGATTGGAGAAGAACAGAAGTCCACAATCCCACCAATCCATCACACATGTTGCTCCATCATTAATCATCAATCCGCAATGTTCATCTGGTGCGGCCCACCTGGACATCTTGACAACCCGACGTTGTCCGAAAATGAAGCTGACTGCTTCAGCGTCAGAGAGTTACAGGACCCCCAAACCATCGCCTGCTTGTCTTTCCACAAAACCAGCACCGCCGCACAGCCGCTCGTGTCCACAGACCAGCCATCGGCATCCGCTATGGCCTGATAGAAAAACGACACAGGTTGGGTCTGCAGGTTGGGGGGCAAGCGGAAAGGGCAAAGAGATGCAAAGAGTCAAGAAGGTCAAATCTCTGAAGTTTGCAGTTGAACCTTTGTTGGCAAGCTTGAACCCATTGGCATGCATGGGCTATGTTGCCCAAATCCAAATCACACCTCCTCTCTGTAATTTTGAAGATGCATCTGACAATTCCTGGTAGGTTCCAGTTCAAGTTCTCCGATGTGCTGAACCGTCAACGAAGATGGGTGACTCTACTTCCACACCGAAATAGCCGACAAAACCGTCTGCGCATTCATGGCTCTACATGAAGCAATGACACATGCTCGGAGAAAAAAGCAGTTGCCTGAGAGTCAGCAAGAGCTGCACAATGCTGCACATAACTCCACACACCAAAAAACCACCTGGAAAAACATGACTTCTGGTTTCACCATGCACAGAGTATGATCGCAGCCGGATGCCGGCATCACCCGCTGTATAACAATCCTGGTACGCATCTTGGAATTCAATGCCGTTTTGCCATTCCAAGACCCCAGCAGTAATATAACTATGGACTTGCTCGTAGGCTTCGATCAGCACATTTGGAATCTCGTCCACCTGCGCATGTTCGGAGACCATGCGATGAAACAAGCTTCAACATTCAACATTCAAGCTCAGGGGGAGCTGTGCACACTGAGATGCACTGCATACAAACGGCAGGAAAGCACTAGCCCAACCACTAAACCCTGGAAAATGGTGCTTTCGCCAGTCTTCCAGTGCGACGCCATCCATCTTCCACTTCCATCTCATGTCCTCCTGCCGTCGTCCCAAGGCGCACGACCGGATCGCCCGGGTCCGGTCCGGTGCCCACCGCGCCTTCCAGTCGCTTCGGGCCAGCAAGTACCTGGCGATCTGCGATCTCGCGATCTCTCCGGTGATGACATGGGCGTTCCAAGTCTCGGCGCCTCCGCTGTATACGGCGTTTCTGGTGAACTGGTGCTGTAAGCGGACTGGCGTTTCTGGTGCGGGCAGGGACTTGCTCAGGGCACCGACATCATCAAACAGTGGCAGTGACCTTTCCTGAACTTGAGATCAAGTCATATCAAACCTATAGTAATCAAACGAATTCAACATGCTGATACCATCCAATGATGATTGATGATCATATGGCACCACCTTGATACAATCACCCCTAGAACCCTCCCTCAAAAGAGTTCTTCGCAGACGCCGGCTGCGGCTTCGGACCGACGCATCCGGCGACCGCCCGAGCTGACGCCAAACGAGCTGACGCCATTGGTTTCGGGGCACGGCAAGGTTTGTGCAGCCATGGTCGCTACGAGCTGGCCAAACGAGCCATGCCCATCCATGCAACACCTGGGGCGAGCAAGACTCAACATGATGAGATGCGCCGGTCACACTAGGTGTTTGATGGTGTTTGTAGATGTTCGGTTTGCCTGCGTTTCAATGCACTCCACCCCACCCCACAAAAAGTATTCAGTGTCACCGAGTGCCTCTCCTAAGGGCTGACCATCGGCTTACCCCTCCATTTCGCCAGGTATTTCTCAAGGTCTTTGGTGCGGAAAATCTCAGCCACCAAGGGATACTCCTCAGTCAAGCCACGCCATTCTCCAACCATTCCTGAGCGTGAGCAAGGGCGGTCTTCGCATCAAGGGATCGCTCATGGGGTTCTCATAGCGTGTCAAACTTTACGATACTTCGCGACTCAAACATACTCATACTGTCATGTGCAATGTCCCGTGACTGGACTCACATCTGTCCCAAAACTCAAAACAACACTGTAAGAATAGCGGTGTCTGCGGGGTTTCGCTCCTTGCACTTCAGTGCTCTTTGACTATTGCTCTTGCATATGTTCGAAGAATGACACGAGCCGATAGAATCCCTGCAACATGTTGAACATGAACCTTGACTAGCCTACTACTGCCTACCGAGCAATTACATCTTGCAGAACCTGTCCCCGGCATGCTGCCCAAATGCTTGAACTCCGCCACGGAAAAGTTGTCTTGGTTGGGTGCAGTGTCCATCTCACCCTGCGAAGGCGATTGCTGGCAAAGCGACTGCCGGCTCAAGGCTGCCCACGCAACAAATGAAAAGGATAAATAGTCAATGACCAATCGATTTCTTGCTCCGTCGTCCCACACAACCGCTTGCACTTGAGAGCTTTCCAGTGAAAAATATTGTTCTTAGAATTCGGGAGGCGTCGGGAAACCTCCTCCTGAAATAGCCTTGAAATGAGAAAGAGCAAAAGGTTACAGAAAGAAAAAGGCATGAAACCACAAAAGCATCTGCGTATATCTGCGTGCTTTCTGCAACTCCAAAAAAATGCCCTCCAAAAACTTCCTTGAACAATACAGCAATACAGCGCCAAAAGAAAACAAAACAAAAAACATCAAAAAACAACATAACAATGTCCCCAAACCAAAAAAGACTTCAAAAACCAAACAACTCACCCCCCCGGAAGGGACTTGGCCTTCTGACCCTTGCGGCACGTGAAGGCCATGCCCACTTCTTCGGCCTCAAAGGGTCCAAACCTCGGCGACGGGCGACGTCCTCGACACCGAAGCATCGAAGCACGGTGCTTCAATGGACCAAGCACGGTGGCTGCGAAAAACATACGGAAAACAAGGAGGCTGAGGCAACCAAGGACAATCATCAGCAATCTGAAGCACTTTGCCAAGTTGCACTTCGAGCTCCTTGGATCACCCGGAACAGTTTCGTCTCTCTGCGCACAAATGTGTCCGAGCAATGTCATGTGACAGGGCCATGTGACCTGCACAACATGCACTGGACAGTAAACTAGCAGGACAATTGTGAGCCGCTCACACATTTGTTGCACTGTCCAACGAACACCTCCTTGCTCACAACCAAAGAGAACACCCATATATACCCACTGTGCCACTCTTCGGCTGTGCTTCTCCGGGCCACAATATGGCTCGTATGGTCTGGTGCTTTACTCAATCGCTCGCTTAAACATGCGAAAACAGTATATGGCCAGCGCTGCTGCCCGCTTCGCCACCGCTGAAAATGAAGCGCTGCCCAAGTGCTCTTTCTTTGAATGGCTCGTTGGACCCTGTGAGCCCTCCGTAGGCCATCCCTGAGCCATCGAGTCGGGTCGGGTCGGAGACCTTCTGGGCAAGTCCGATTTCGACGAAAGACTCCTGTTGGGGTGAAGAACAGTGCACTCAGAAAGCATACCTGGAACGTCCTCAGTGTTTCTTTTTTTTCGATCTGCGGTGTGAAACACATATTTTGGAGTCACTGGCCACTGGCTTATATTTTGAGTCTGCGGATGTTTCTCTAGTGTTCTGATATTTCCCAGGTATTCCACGTTCGTTTATACAGCTAAGGGATGCTAAGCTAAGGGCGTTTATTGGTGAGCCACAGGCGTTTTTTTCCCGAACGTGTTTTTGGTTTTTTAAGTGGATGATGTGGATGTTTATTTCGATTGCGGATGTTTATGCGGTTCACGGCAACAACAACAACAACAACAACAAAGTTGCAGGTATGGAAGCATTCTCACGTGCGTCATCGGAACAGGGGAGAATCAGCTTGCTTGCTGACCAAACGCTTGGAAGATCAACACTTGAGGTTGTATAAAAACCCCCTATCCTTTTGCCTTACCACTTTTGGCGTTATCGTTTGTTTTTCTTCCTTATCGCTTTACAGTACTTTGACTAACTGCAACATATGTAACATATGTAGTATACATGTGTGTGTGTGCACTGCGTGCATGTGGTGTGGAACCTGCAGACATGAAGACAATAGGTACAGTTCCCCATGCTGGAGTCCATGCTAGAGTCCCCAGACAGAAGATCTTATTGCTGTCCATGGCGCTCACATGTGGTGGCCTACCTACACAAAGGTCTTTTAGGCTCGCTGCGTTATCGTTTTTGTTATCGTTTTGTTATCGTTTTGGTGCCTGGTGCAACTTGGATTTGTTTAAAGATTCTGCCCTGAAGAACGGGAGATGGTTCACACTCTGTTTGTCGAGCAGGGACTGTTCTTTCGGAGGCCCAGGAGACACTCCTTGTTGCTCCCTCTGTGAGGACATAAGCCTAAAACCACAAATAGAAACATGCCAAGGGATTTCCACAACAATCATCGGGGGTTATCGTTTTTTTTTCTTCCTTATCGTTTTACAGTGGTTTGCAGATGCTCCAAGAAAAACGGACATGCGAATACTAATTCCCTGGGTGGGGGATTTTTATAATCTCTCACTTGGCCTTTGCAAAGGGAGAATGACCCAAAATACCGCTAAGCATCGGTGGCAAAACAAAGACTCAAAGTGAGGAGGGCCCTAATTTTCTTCTGCGAAAAACGTCCTCGTACTGACCGTCATAGCAAACCAGCTGCAATTGGTGTTCTCTTCCCAGCATTGGCGGTACTGTTCAGGCGTGATCTTAGCTTCTATCCTTGGCATGGCGCGGGGGAGAGTGGTCGCTGAGCATGACGATGAGCCTTTGTCATCATGGGTTCGTGCAACTGTCCATTGCTTTTTCCTCATGTTGGATCTCCATCTGCATCATCAGAGTTCTCTCAAAATGACTGGACACAAAGAAACGTTGCAAATCCCTCACTTTCAATCGAAGCAAACCCTTTGGCCATGCGACACAGTTTCAACGGTTTCAGCCCCACTAGCAGAGTTGGCCGCCTCCAAACCAGTGCGACTCTGTTTGACACTCCAAGAAACTAGACTGAGGATTGAGGATTCCTCTGCTTGACCACATCACTTCCTGTGATTCTACCCCTCAGGACACCACACCCCAAAAAGAAATCGCCGGGTAGGACCGACAAGGTTGGATGGCTTATTGCTTGCTTGTCGATGGATCCGAATCACCAATTTCGATGGCTCAGTAGCTTTGGGAGCAACATCTTGGGTTGCATCTTGGCTTCGCCAGGACCTGCACATCCGCACGAGCTGAATGCATTTCCCAAAGAAACACAGGTTCACAACAGGTCTACTGCAAAGTGTGTCCGCATATTTCTTCGTACACATGCCGGTCAAGCAGCAAAAAGCCGATGCCCACATTGCCCGGGTCAACTGGATTGTGCCAAGTGGCTCTTGGTTTCTGTCGGCTCCTTCGGCCCTTCAGGCGGGTGAGCTGCGGTGGTGGCAGGTGCTGGCACTGTGGCCTCCTTGGACCGAGTGACATGGCAAAGAACGTCGAGTGACATGGCCACCCGAAAACCCTGACCTCGCATTGGGGGTAGTCTTTGGGGGGGTTCGTCAGGTCATTCTCGCTATTCACTGCCCTTTTTCATGGACAAGGTTTTCTCTGTTTGCGTGTCTGCACCTGCAAACCTTGTGGCACAATCCAACATGGCTGAGACGTCTTACAATATCTTCTTTTGTGACTCTATCAGTTTTGAGGAAAGTATACATGCACGTAGATGCCAGATACAACTTGAATAATTATGTATTACAAATGCCCTTGTTACTAGTAGCTTCTTGCTACTCGTAGTAATGCCCTTGTTACTAGTAGCGATGTCCTTGTTACTAGTATAGCTTCTCTTCTATGAGTCAAAAAATGTCAAAAACCACACCTTTTTCGATGGCCAAGTCACCGAGCCAGGTGATGGGGGTGCAGCCTTTGAAGGAAGCGAAGGAACAAAGTGAGTCCTGCGACAGACTCATGACCAGAATCATCTGACTTTTCAACATGGGAACAACCTGAGAGGCCCAAACCAACCTGAAGGACTCCACCAACGACCTGAGGTGTCACAATCCGCACATCACCCTGGAGTGGGAGGCCATGAAGACTACCTTTCCGCGGAGGTAATATCTCTGGAGCAAATCTGTTCGTCGGATGGAGCGAATCAGTTTACTGCAATGGTTCCTGAAATGACGTGAAGCCACTTCAGTTGAGTATTGTGATTGTGCCCACACTGCCAAGTTATATGCTACCGAGCCTTGCTTCATTCTTGTCATAATTACAATTCAATATACAGTAATGTACGGTATTGTATATAGTATATCAGAATCAGTAATATTATGATGTATATGTGTGTGTGTGTGCGTGGTTGTCCCCAGCCCGTGCCATGCCCTACACACACAAAACAGCTAAAGAAGGGAGGGGCACCCCTTCGTTTTAGACAAATGCTGAATCACACCGAATCCACCTCCCGGCTTCCAAGCTGGTCGTTTATCATGCGTGCAATTTAATGTCTAATCCTCAAACGCTCACGCATGTCTTGGCTTCCAGCAGCAGTTTCTCTCTTTTTGCAGTGCGGTTTGGATCGTCGTGCGCCCTTTGAGGTGCAACAACGGCGCCAGCGGTGACACATCCAGGATACAAATCCCACGGACACGGCGGAGTCGTCTGCGAGGATTCACAAGGCAAATCTGCTTTTTCCTCAATCCATGTAATGTAGGTGGTTCAGATGTGACATGTGGTTTGGGGTGAATAAGGGGTGAATCGGTGGAACATCTGGTTTGGAGTTTGGAGTGTGCTGCGCATCCTTTGTAAACTCTCAAGACATTTGGATCACCCCTCATTAGCTTAGGCCTTTCGGACAGTCCGTCGCTTGTCTTTATGAGAGCCATGTCACATCTCCCGTCTCCTACTCCATGATTGGCTCCTACTTGTAAGTGGGGTCACAACCTTTGTGCGCTGCTAGAACGAAGCTGGAGTGCATAGTCACAGTCATAACAACCCCAACAACGTCCCCCCCAAAAAAGAGATACAATGAGTACCCCCCTTCGAAAATGCCATTGTGAACCGGCCACCGACCCGCTCACGGCCGGCAGGGCCGGTCTGCTGGATGCACTGGGCGCCGCCCAGCCACGAAGTGGGGGGTCGGCGGGTTGGACAAGTAGTCCTTCCAGCAATGCGAACCCTACAGTGAGCCAAGTCTAGTGTGCGAAACCATGCGAAACCATTATCTCATGCGTTTCCGAATGACAGTCTGGAACAAACAGGGAGAAAAAAGAAATCCAAGGCGCTTAAAATGATTCAACATGATTCCAGACCGCAGACCTTTTAAAAATTGCCATAAGCTGCATCATTGTTACATTCCAATGTTTGCATAACTAATCACCACCTCTCCAGCCTGGCCTTCTTCCACATAAAGGGCAGCTCCGGAGAGATTTGTCCAGGCCTCAGGGCGACGAGTGATTTGATGTGATTTGTCCAGCCACGAGTTCGAACGGCGACCCCAAACAGCTCGACACGAGATCAGACTCGTGGCAACGACTGGAGATGAGATCGTTTTACGCCAATGCGCCGCAAGACCGTTCTACAATACAAGAGCCGAGGAACACTGAGCAGGAGAGCTTGGCTTGATACTTGATGCAAGCGCCTACCTTCCTGAGTGGAACAGCTTGAAAGACTCTGAGATGCAGGTATGTTAGTGATGCTGGGGGGGGCTTCTGTGGTTATTGACCTTCAAACAGCTGGGAACCAAGCTCTGGAAGTGGGTCGGAGGTTGCGAACGTACATGGTCTGGTGAGTGGCCCATGTGTCAGGTGACAGTTAAGAACATCTCAGTGATGTGCTTCCACATCGGGTGATTGTTGCAATACTAAAACCATCTAAAACCTGGGAGCAAAGTGAGTCACACCAAGAATTGGATTGTGGATGCACTGGTGCTCAAAAGGGTTCAAAGCACACTCCCTCAGCTAAAGGGAGTTCCACATGAGCTGGGTTGGCTGCAAACTCCTATCTGCACTGCCCTGCCCCTTTTGAATGATGAGAGATGGTGAGAGGGCTCCGTGCGACCGCCCGGTCTCGAGCTGATCGATGGCTCAGCTGGTCTCTCGCGTAGCCTTACATCACATCACTACGATGTGACAATTCAAACAGAAGCTGAAGTAGAAGCTGTATAGTAACAATGTTCGCTATTAGAAACAAGTGCCTCGCTAGTAGTAACAAGTGCCTTACTAGTAGTAACAAGAAGCTATTTCATACAACGCGCATTTCTGCCTTCTCCAGGAACCTTCCCCCACACACTTGGAATCGCCAAGCATCTCGTTCATCTTCTTCAAGTCGGTGGACCATTTGGGGTCCACAGCCATTTGCACCGGGAGTTGCAGTCCTGTGTCGGGTCCCAGGTTGCGGACGACTGCCAAACCGGTGAATCGGACGAGTAGGCAGGTCAGGTTGCAGTCGCTTGCAATGCTTCTCAGGGCCCGGCTTCTCGCCTTTCTGATGTTGAGATGGGTATCTTCATCAAACCGTGCTTTGGATGTTTCTAGACATTGCGTATCGATGCTCCCATTATTTCAAACCCCCTTGGGTAACCTCTAGGCCTCTAGGCATAAATCCCCATGTCATGCACTGTAACCATCACAGTCCAGTCTTGTTAAGGACAAACGCTCGCCGCTCGCGTGTCTTCACCAGGCCATGGCTCCTCTCGCTGTCTCGGTCACATAGTTCGGCATGCCTCAGGGTCGTGTGAGTCGTCGATGACCAAGCTCTTCTGACTGCCAACACTCGTAACTTGCGGCTGATAAGTCTTGAAACTGCATGTTCAACTGTCTGCACGCTACAAGTGCACATCATGAAAACTACTGTATATATATAGAGGTATACAGTATATCATATGGATCAACCCCCAAGTGCCCCCTCAAATCCTACCCCTATCGTCCTTTAATTCGATTCCGTTCCCGGGATCGACCAACCTGGTGCGACCTTTATTGCAGCCAGGGTGCAGCCCATGTCGCAGGGACTGGGTGCCGGTCGAAGATGAGCTGGCATATCCAGCCAAGCCTGCAGCGATCAGCGCCGTGCCCGAAAACCAACGAGAAAAGCACCCAACCCTGGGGGCATTGTGAGCCCCAAAGGCTACTACAGTACCAAAAGCGGTGAGTGGAATCTGGTTGTTTCTAAGATTTTCGACTCAGCTTCAAGCCTTGTTTCTTGACATCGTTAGCATCTGGTTGCAGTCAGTCAGGGACACCCCACATCCACATGGAGACACCCTATTAAATCTCTGAAGGGGTTAGTATAAAGGTACAGCATGGTACACAAGCAACCTGCCTGGCATAATTATATACTGTAGTACAGTAGGTTTCGGCTTAGCCGCTGGGCATCGCGTAACTGCGGCCATACTAGCAGACTAACAGAACCAACCAATGCTCTCAAGGAAGAACTGCCCAAAAATGATAGACACAATGAAACTACATCTCCTTATCTCATCACATCCCTCCTGATCTCCTGAAAGCATCAATCCAAGTCAAGATGTCTGCCTTCAACTTGAGCTCTTCCTTCTTCTCCCGGAAGCGCATCAGCCCTTCCAAGGCAGAGTCCAAGTTTCCTCAGCGCAGGATGATGCTGCGGTGAGTAGAACCCCACATGTTCACCACCCAAAGCACACAATTTCTACGGGAAACTTGTGACCCGCGGCCCTCCTACGCACTGTCTGTGTAGAAGGGCGAAGCATGGTGACCTCGCTGGTTTTCAGTCGCTTCTCCGAAGGGCGGCCTCATGCACACGACTTTGGTGGCTTGCTGGATTGCCACTCCTGAGGGCCTCTTCGATATCACTCGAGTGGGGTGTGGCTGAAAGGTCGGTAGTTGTCTTCGAGCTGTTATGAGCAGTTGAAATGTGCAGGATCTTCAAGAGCAACTCAAAGCTCGAGGTTGGAGACTTAGATCTCCAGCAATTGTGCGATGGAAGTGAATGTGAATGATGGTTGTCGCTGTTCACTCAGGCTATCCGACTATCTGTGCCCATTGCAGCCCGCAGCCGTCTAGGTAGCACCAAGCACTGCAAAAATGAAGAAACGTCCCCTTCATGGGAGTGACCTTCATGCTGAGAACTGCACAACTGAACTTCGGAAGTGCCAAGAAAGGAGGCAAAGTTGCTTGACAAATGCTTCTCATACTTGCATTTTGCATGCATTTTGCACCACGTGGCGTCGCAAAGGATATATATGTTTTGTCGCCTATATAGTCTTTGGCAAACCCCTGGCCTGTTTAAGCCACCACTTTGGATTGGTCTGCGGTCTTACCCAAACGATCCAATCCGGTGGATCCTCAAATCCGCTCGCTCGGCTGCAGTGAAAGCGGCGGAGCGATTCAGCCTTCGACTCGAGCAGCGGAACGAAGCTGTGATCCGCCTGCGGTGAGCTGAGCGGAGCGAATCTCTCAGTGGGCAGTGCCAGAAAGAGTCTGCTGGTCTCAATGTCAAATGTCTCAGCAAACCGTGGCTTGCGGAAGGACACAATATGACACAATCATCCATCGCACCGTAGCCTAAAATATAGTCAAACATCTACATTTGGGTCCTCATCCAACTGCATTCGCATCAGCCGTATGCTATCAGTTCGTGCGAAGCACCACCGACAATTACTTGGAGACCTACCGGAATCTGGAATATCATCTCAGCATATAAGAAAAGCTATTGCAACCACCCATGGGCAAAAGCACTTTGCAAAAAATACGGCTTCATTTTGGGCATGTCACCGTCTTTGGGCGCCTCAGCCGGACTCTGAGCAGTTGCACCGAGCTGTGGTGAGCTGGCACTCTGAGCTAGTCTTGCCTGGCAAAATTCAGATCGTTCATGAGCACCAATGTGGGACCGGTGTGAATCAAAAATGCCAACATGTTTTGGAACGGCCCATGGTGACCCCCAGCGGCCGCAGCTTGGTGCAGGAAATCGAAAAGAATAGAAATAGAACATATTATGGAGTCCAGGCTTGCGTCACTGCTAAACGCCAGATTTCAACACCCATAAAACACATCCCTTCCTCTACAATCCTCCTACAAACCCGTCTCAACATCCAGGTCTCGCCGCTGTCGAAGGTGAACCGGAACATCCCAGGATACATCCTGTGACTCAGTGCCTCTGTCAAGTTGAGTCGAGGCCGTTCCCGACGGCTGCCCGGATACATGGCGCGCTCTGCCAGGGTGTGGGAGGCCAAAGGCCCTTGGGGGGAAGAAGCGGCTACAGCGGCAGGTTTTGGGTCGCCTATTAAGGGTCCGAGGACTGTTCCTCTGTGATACATAGGTCAACTATGGCTAAACTGGCTATCCGATCTTGAGCCACCAGTTTCAGCCACTCTCTGCACTAAGTATGTCACTTGCTCGACAATCATTCAATATCACATGGAGCAGACTGGGGCTTTGTCAGCCACAAAGGCGCCCTACTGATCTCCACGCGTCAGTCCTGTCGTTCGAGGTACTCGGCATTTTCGTGTCCTGCGAAAACATTGGAAGCGCGCCAAGCTCTTGGATACTGGGACTCTGAACAGCTCCTTAGGAACTAGGACACTGACAGCCACCCTCGAAATAAACGTCGAGAAGCATGGCTCGCCAGCGGGAGCTTGTCAGAATGATCAATTAGTGTCAATTAGACTCAATCCGTTCCACTTGGATCGAGCCCGATGAGCTTTAAAAGTCAGCTCTAAAAGCCAGCCCACAGAAATAACTTGAAAAGGAGATGGTCAGCTGGTCAGTTCAAAATGACCCCAACGCACCCCGCAGGAACCGGTCCACATGCGGCGTGACTTCTCCATTCAGAGCCTGCACAAAACACACTTGGCCGCAGCGAGGGTTGTATCAGCAAAGGGCACCGACACGGTAGGAAGGCTCCCCCCCACGAGTGTTCACCCGGGACCTCCAAAACCAGGAAGCTCAGCCGAATGGTGCCAGCCAAAAAATGGAGCTGGACGATGCAAAGAGCAATGGGCAGAAGACTCAGCCCCTTGACAATTGGCATGCTTTGTCTATTTGGAGTCTTGTGACTCTTTGTTGCTATATGGTTGCTGCTAGCTGTCACCCTCATGCTGGAGCTCGTTGCCGAAAGTGTTATCCTTGATATTTTCTTCCATGACATCCCCTCCTGAATCATGTAGAATTTCCCTTTATCATAGCCGTTCTCATTCCCCAGGAAGGGTCGTGCAGGCTTTTTATGGCTACAATGTTTGGGGCATGCAGAAATCACGATAAAGTGCAAGATCTTCCAGCAGAAGAAAACTTTACAGAATGGACGAGCATATGAAAAATGGCTGCTTAAAATGATTGGCTATATATACATGAAATATTTTATTGAGGATGACATAATGCAATAAATTTGTTCACTATACATTGATATAATATGCATGTAAAACGTGTGAAATGGACATCAAGCTACTGAGGGTCAAATTTCATGTTGCTTCATCTACACAGATTGCAAGGACTTCAACAATATGCTTTACTATGATTTCTGAACTCCTGGATTCACTATACAATGACAGGTGTCTCTGGGGACTTTGCGGGGACCACTTTCATACAGAATTAAGCAGGATCTACTGTAGTGGCCTTAAGGTCTCCCAATGTGTAGTGACGTGCAAATGTTTTGTAGGGCATCGATCAACGATTTCTGAACAATTCCTTCAATTCACGCAATTCAACATGATTTTGAAGATTCTGACTGAGACTCTGGGATGAAATGCTGATCACCTTTCTGGAAATTCATCAATTGGTTGAGACTCAGCACAAAAGATATTCCCCATCACGATCTTTTGAGAAAGAAAGATTGCTCCAATGCCCAAGGCACCCGGATGATTCTATAAATGGTCTAATGGCACGACCGTCTGCAATTATGCCGGTTGTTTCCTAACACCACTGAGTGCAGCACATCCCATGCCGGAAAAAACGGGACAAAAAACAAAAAGGATGTCCAACAATCCGGCAATGGGTGCAGCTGCTCCCGCATGTCGATCCCGCACGCATCGCACAGAATTCGCAGTCGATCCGGCGAAGAAATCCTCGCTGCCCCTAACACCACGCCCTTGCCCTTGCACCTCATTGAAGTTGGCCCTCAACAAGCACGCTGGTGCAGGGTGCAGTGGTGACCATTGCAGAAGGGAAGCTTGGGGGGAAAGGCGCGTCAAACATCTCTCATGGATTACCGATGTGGAAGGTTCACTCTCCAATGGTTTGATGTTCATGTTCCTCCCTGGCGGTCACTCCTTCTTGTACTGTTTTGGACGATGCTCATGCATCGGCAAGTGTCACAAACGCATGCTCTTACAAGCTTCTCTGCTGATGCACACTTAGTAGCTTATGCGCATGCTGCCAAGGAGCTCGTCAAGCTTCTTGCCTTGCAATCATAGGCCACATGTAAGCGCATTTGGAATGACAAACTGTTCGATCAGGATAATGCATGTAGAGGAAAGCGTCTATCCGTGATGCTAATGTTGCATGCTTTCGTACACACATTGCAACATGCTGCAATTACTTTCGTTGATAACACTTGACATCATGTTGCACACACACACACACAAAGGCCATCACACATCAAATTGCAAATTGTCACTTTTCATCTGCACAACTGTCTTGCAAACCCAGTGGCTGTCGCAGTTCCCGCAACAAAGCATGGCAAACAATGGCGACTGGGCCGTTGTGAATTGGTATGCACAAAGGAAGAGGTTCATAAGAAGTTCTCGTCGTGTTGCAATCCTGTTTTGACCCGATTATACCCGATCCTATGCTGACTCCGAGGCTAGATTCTTCAAAATCCCCACAAATTCCACTAATTGCAGGACAAAATGTCGGTCTCTCCGCAACCGCCGTAAAAACCGTGACTGGGCGCTGTTCCCCCAGCCCGGCCTGAGCCCAAACAGCCCGGTGGACACTGAGTTGTATATGTTCGTTTGGACTGGACTGGGGTGGGGCTCAAAGGAAATGATATGATCAAGCATCTAGAATCTAAGTTCAACGACTGCAAATACCAGCCTACGGCCAGTCAGGCTTCGGGAGTTTTCGAGGAGTTCGTGTCAAATCTGAGTGTCTCGCCAACGTCTGCAAGTAAATTCCCAAAGCTGGCCTCAGGGCTTTGGAAGCACAATTCAAGTCTGCCAGTCCACCTCTGGCAAGAAGAATCACCATCAGTCTTCTGCAAGCGCGTGGCATCTCAGTGGGCCGACCATGCAACGCGGCATAGAGAAAGCGCCTCAGAGCAACCAAGGGAACAAAGCGGCCGCCTAGGCGGCCAGCGCCCTTCTGAGATCTCGACCAAATCAAACCTGAGGGTCGGGACATGTCTGGACGACACCTGCCCTATGACATCAAACAAAACGGGAACATTCACATACATTTACTCTAAAATGCACTGCCCTGTCCCAGTGTGAGCCTCTCTCTGTGTATTCCCATGACGAGGCAAATTTGGAAGAATTTAAAGCCACACTTTTGCAAGTAGTAATTACATGTCAGTCATTACAATTAGATGCAATCATTGAACTCTTCTCACACGATCTGGTCTCTTCTCAGGCGCACACAAGGTGGCACTGCATGACCCTGATTTTCCACTCCCCGGGCCACGACCTGCCAAAAGCTCCAGCTTCGTATCACAACGGCCGTTGCTTCCCGTTGCTTTTCCCGGCCTTCTGGTGTGCGACCCCAGTCCTGAGCGACCGGAGGGTGTGGAGACCTTACGGGTTCACCGTCCTCCCCAAAAAGAGCTAGGACATGCTTCCCTAAGGCAGAAAGCAGCAGGGTCGGCAGACCCTCTCAGCTACCTACCTTAACATCGCCCGATTGGACAATTGGAAAACATATCGTGACTCATGACTTTCAAAGAAAAATGGACAAGGGATGACACAGTAAGGTTAAGTCAATCTTTGCCAGCCAGGCAATGGAAAGTTGATTTTTATTACTTTTTCATTTAGATCTTCATTTTTTTTACAAAATATTTTTGTTTTATTTTCATTTATTTTGAGATTATCATTTTTTTTGCGTCATGTTCATCCTTCCAGAACTGGTTGGCTTTGCTGTCATTTTTATGGGCTTCCAAAATCACTTCAGTCATAGTCAGCGCCTCAAACTATGTATAAATGCGTGAAGGGATTCCCTCACCCATCCCTTCCCGAGCAATCGAAACCAAGGATCAAAATCATGGAATTCAACTTGCAAGCTGCTGAGCTAAACCACTGGGCCCCAAAAGCCTGAGCCTAGTGGCCTAGTGGCCTAAAAATTTGTCATACAGGAATGGGAAGTAAAACAGGTTAGTGAAGAGACAGCCCTGAATGAACACTAAAAAAGCACACGAAATTGTCAGAAACAATATAAACAGTATGACCCAAATGAAGACCAAAATGACAGATGAGAAGAAAATTATTAACCAAATTAAAACCAACATCACAAATTAAATAAATGATGAACCAAATGAACACCAAAATGACAAATGAGGAAGCAAATGAAAACCAAAATGCCACACGAAAAAAAAAGAAAAAAAGAAACGAAAAATAAATGAAAAGCAAAAACGAAACGAAAA